TATTAATTTTAATTAAGTCTTTGTATTAATTATACATAGGTCTACATTTTTTAATTGATTGTAAAATCAGTTTTAAAAATTTAAATAAAATTAAAGTCATACACTATAGCCCTTAATAATTAAATTTAAGTCATACACTATAGCCCTTAATAATTAAATTTTGACACCTATTATGAAAATGATTATAGGTCCTATAAATATACAAGACATCAAAGTACGCCCTAAAAAAATCTATAATAGAGGACTACCACCGATTGTTAAGAACAAATGTATACTTTTGTAATCTTCATCTAAAAATCTTTTATTTATGTGAAGTATCTTTTATAAAAAAAAAAGTGAAAAATGATTAATATAAAAAATAAATAAAAAAATATTTTTTATTGTAAGTGCCAAAGAAAGATGTGACTTGTTATTTTGACAGTTTTATTTTCAATTTATATATAAGAAGAAAAAAAAGTGAAAAATTAAGAGAAATAATATTTTAAATAATTATTCTCTCTTTAATAAATCATTTGTTTTTGGTTGTTCGTTTATTTGTTTGAGTGCATCTACGATTTATACACTACATTGTTATGTTTCCACAATTTATTTGTTTGAGTCTCACATTTTTTATTGTTTGTATATTATTTTGTAAAGATGAATATGTGTTTAAGTATCTAAGTGTTGGGAATTTTTAGGGTTTTATACATGTGTATATCTGATATATCGTATGTGTATATTTCTATTCATGTACTCTATGTATATATAGAGTAAAAATATTATAAAATATCAAATATCAATAATATCTCAATCATAACTACCTAAATCAAAATAATAACCTAATGTCTTTTTACCTTAAAAGATAATAAAATCTCTTAATACCTAATTTAAATAAAAGATAATAAAGTAATATTCTCAGTATTCCTCCGTACTTTAATATCTATTTATTTGAATTTGATATATTTTTTCTTTTATTTTGTTTATAATTTTTTCTCGTTTTTTGTTTGTACTTCTTGTCATCTTTTTTCTTGTATGAGATCACATCTTCATTTAACTTCATTTTCTTTATCAAAGTATTTCTTCCTTTATCAACTTCATCTCCTTTGTTTCTTTCAAACTTCTTCATGGTGGTACTGTTGACTCTTTGATGGACGTTGAAAACGGTTTCTTCATCTACATCTTTATTTTTCTCCTTAACATCAAGTTTCTTCAAGAAATCTTCTTCATGTTTTTTCTTTGACTTTTCTTTTATATCTTCGTTTTTAATCAACTCTTTTTTCATCAAATTTAAAGTGAAACTTTTTCCTTTCATGTGAACTTTTGAATTTTTCCAAGTTATTTGTATCTTTAATCACACAAAGTTTGTATTCAAAAGACATCTTATAACTTTTCTCCAATAATTGAGCAACACTTAACAAATTATGATTAATATCAGGAACATATAAAATATCAAAAATTAATTTGATACCCGAATGACTTTTAACTGCAATTGTTCATGTACCTTTCACGTCTATTTGTTCTCCATTACTGATTTAATTTTAGAAATATTTGATTCGTTGAACTCTTTGAAAAATTCTCGATCATGAATCATGTGATTTGTACAATCACTGTCTATAAGCCAACATGTGAATTTTTTATTTGTAGAGGATGTTGATGCAAGGAGAAGCTCTCCTTCTACTTCATCCTCGATGATCTTGATGACTTCTTCTGGTTGTGATCTGCATATTTTTTCTATATGTCCCAATTGACCACATTTTCAACATTTTACATCAGGTCTCCACCAACATTTGTTGGGTGTGTGATTATTTTTCTTCCAATAAGGAAGAACAGAAAATACTCGTGATTTTGTACCTTTGTTATTCTTGGCTTGGAGAGAACTTCCGTCATGATATAATAAAGAACCTTCACCAGCAACATGATCTCCTCTCATCAATCTTCGTTGCTCTTGCGCTTGTAAAGCATGTAGCACTCGAATTTTCTCATCCCCTTCATATTGATCTTTCAAATAATCCAAAATTTCTTTAGGTGACTTTAGCATCATGATTCTGGTGAGGATAATTTGTGAAACACCAGTAAACAAACATGATTTAGCTTTTGCCTTCCTCGTTTTTCTTTCTCTGTGAAATTTCATTTCAGCTATGGTTTCTTTCTCTGTGAATTTTCATTTCATCTATGGTGGGATTTTCAGGTAATGGATCAAAAATATAATCTTCTTCTACAACTTTCCATACATCCAACCATTCAAGATAAGATTGCATTCTCACAGCCCATAAGTCATAACTTTCGCCATAAAAAACTAGAATAGCGACTTGTGAAAAATTTCTTTCTCCTTCCATTGTGTCAAACCAAAGTTCTTGATACCACTATTGGGAATTTTTAGGGTTTTATATATGTGTATTTCTGATATATCATATGAGTATATTTCTATTCATGTACTATATATATATATAGAGAGTAAAAATATTACAAAATATCAAATATCAATAATATATCAATCATAACTATCTAAATCAAAATAATAACCTAATGTTTTTTTACTTTCTCTCTTAAAAGATAATAAAATCTCTTAATACTTAATTTAAATAAAAGATAATAAAGTAATATTCCCAACACTAAGCGTAACAAAATTCTTAACATAGGTAGTTAAGGACTGGAGTTAGATCAATACACGTCATATTAGTGAAGAGTATGAAAATAGAGTTGAAGAGTTTTTGCAATTTGATCGTAAAGATGATAAATCTTTCAAAAAGACATATTACTTTGGTTAAGGTGGGCTCCATGTAAAGTTACATCAGGTATTGACACTCCTGACATAAATTTTATCTTTTTTTAATTTTTGAAACTCATTTACATTTATTCCTTTACTTTTTTTATTGAAATTAATGTTGATTATCTATAAAAATGAAGTAAATTGACATTCATGGAAAAAAAAAAACTATGCACTATTCAATATGACAAAAATATAAAAATAAATATAAATTCAATTATCCATAAAAATATTTTAAATTATTATTTCATTAAGGGATTTTTTTTTAGTATTATTTAGAAGTTTAAAGAATTAGGTCTCAAAGACTGTAAATTAAAACACTCTTAGCATGTTTTAGTAATTTAATTCAATTAAATGTAAGATTGGTGGATAAGAATTAGAATAATATGCAATTTTTTCTTAACTATGGTCGTCCTCTACTTTTTATAGTAAATTATTTTTACAATGTCACCGGTTTTTTCCCCACTGTTCTATATTCACGGAAGAGGTCTCTGTAATGTAAACTTCCGGCGAGGTTTCTAGGGTTTTAATTCTGACTTACAATAAAATATAATTTATGACTATACTCCAAATCTTTTAATAAAAACATCATATTTTAGTTGAAGAAGTTTATTATAATTCCATTACAAATATAATAATCAATGCAGTTATTGATGTTCTTAAAACTCATTTGACATATATTATAAGGCTAATATGTGGTTAGATCAATGTAAAATTTAAAATATATTAACTATGTCTTTTAATTATTATTATTTTCGTTTTAAAATTGAAAATATTTTAGGTCTTTATTAATATACCTAGTTTTTATAAAAAAATATATAAATATTTTTATACGGGAGCAACAAATAAATTGGGACTCATTGGTACAAGGAGCTTCACAAATCTGCACCACTTTCCTAAAATTATTTATTAGGTGTGACTTATAAGTCATATACATCTATCAAATAAATGGTGCACAGTGCATTGAAAACTATTGTGGCTTTTGTTTTTTGGAATAATCTTTTTTTTTTTTTTCAGAATAAGTGTCAGATAATATTAAATTTACAAAGCTATCCACTTACACCATAATAGAACCTTTGATGCAGAATTTGTATGAAGAGAAATCAACCCATATTTTCATTCCAGCAGGGGATCATTAAATATTTTGTATACATATATAAAAACTAGATCTTTGATATCCTCATATACATATATAAAAACTAGATCTTTGATATCCTCATATCAAGAATTAGAGTTTGTAAGATCAAACATCTACTAGTGGATTGTATAACTCGATAACAGATAATTCGATAAGTTCAACAACAATCACATCTAATATATATTATATATATATATATATATATATATATATATATATATATATATATATATATATATATCATCTTAAACTTTTAGATTTAAATCTAATTTAACTTTAGAAAATTATATGGAAATGAAACTTGTTTCATATATAGTTTAGTTTACATATATTATTTTACTATGTGAAGTCTCCCGTATATATGTGAAAGTCTCCCATATATATTCATAAATCTAATAACTCCTACAAAAAGACGAAAAAAGAATCTAGTTTCTAATATACTAAAAAAAGAAAGGCAAACACGACCTTGCGATGTCTAACTTAAGAACAAATCTGTATAAACTACAATGACACAGGGATACGATAGTATGCAAATCAAAGTTGGGCCAATTAATAAGTTTACAAATAAAATATCAAGTTCCAGGCCAATACTTGTGAGGTTGTGTCAAGCTTAGTCTGGTGGTTAGGGACCAAGCTGTGGCCTTCTCTATGGTGGTTTAGCGACAACACTTTTGGTATATTTATGGGACTAGTTTACAATTTTCACCAAAAATACTACATCTTACCTGCTATAGAAGTTGCAAGTCATAGATCAGAACCATTCGTTTGCTGATCATTATATCCGGTTTGATAATATATGTATCCTATACACTACATGGTGGGGTAGGTACCTTAAACTCCATCCACATATGGCATATCTGTGTTGCACGTTTTATTTAAATTTAATTTTCTCTATATCTTTCCTCGTCGAATTTATACGTGATTCACGTTTTTGGCTGTGAGAGCATGGTACATATATAGATGAGAGTAAGCTTTTCTGGTCAGCACGGAAGAAATCAAACTTCATCTTCTTAGCATCAAGTTGTGTATTCCCTCTCTGTGCCACTCACTTTAAGGAAGATTCGCGTAATAACTCAGAAGAGTAGTTGAAGCAGACACTGGTTGCATTAGAGATCGATGATGGTGAGAACCCCGGGCTGTGACAAAAATGGACTGAAGAAAGGAACATGGACACCAGAGGAAGACAAGAAGTTGGTCGATTATATTACCAGGTATGGCCACTGGAATTGGCGCCTACTCCCCAAGTTCGCAGGTAACATAGCCAGAAAGTTTATACTCTATTCAGCACCCTCTATTTTTTTATTTTTTTTCATCCAAATCAGGTGTGAAAGGCACTTACCAAATAATTTGTTCGGGGACAAATTAACCATTGTGTAAGTTAATCGGCAATGTGGCTTTCATATTTTAAGGTTTGGTTTTCTACCAATGTGTAGGGACTATAATATTCCATGTCATGAACTTGCTATTATGCAAGATGATAGTATATTGACTATTGAGTGTGTTATGAATCCTTTATGATTGATTTTACACTTTGCTGTTATCAGGTCTTGCGAGATGTGGAAAGAGTTGCAGACTTAGGTGGTTGAATTACCTAAGGCCAAACCTCAAAAGAGGAAACTACACCGAAGAAGAAGAGGAAACTATCATCAAGCTGCACCGACATCTGGGTAACAGGTGTGAAATATTTTCCTGTACATAGGACTTCACAATCAATTTTTAACCAACAAGAATAAAATTTAATATTTTATTATGAATTTCAACATTTTAAAAAGAAAAATTATTAAATATGGTAAGAGTTCTTTATTCAAACAATTTTTATTTTAATTTTAAAAAATTTATTCATTTTTAAATCACTTAAATATAAGACCACGATAAAATATTAATTTTTATTTTTAAGGTAGAATGGGAGATGCTTTTAGTACACTGCCTCTACTTCAAACTCATTTTGGGTGGCACTGTTGTCTGTCGTTTTCGTTGGTGGAACCCTAGGAGCATATTTCAGTAATGTCTCATGAGTGAACACAAGATATTTTTTGACAAATCGTTCAATGGGAACCATGTGTATCATTTAGAACTTACTTCTTAATCGTTCTTCTGTCAGTATTTAAGGATCCTAACCCATTAACCATCGTTTTATTATCATGGAGTGATGATACTTAAATTAAACCTTTCAATTTCATCAATAGATGGTCTGCTATTGCTGCACGGATTCCAGGAAGAACAGACAATGAAATAAAAAACTATTGGCACACCAACCTCAAGAAACGGTCTCAACAGGACTCAGCCACAGAATCTCAGGTCTCAAATTCAAGTGAACAATGCCCAACAACAACTGAACCAAGTGCTAATACTTTCCAAAGCTTTAACTCCACTCAAGATTGTTCCCCATTTTCCCAGCATTCATCATCCTCCACAACAAGCACAGAATGTACCACTGTAACCAGAAACGAAAATCTGGTTCTGCAAGATGATTTTTCCTTTTGGGATACTGACACGGATCTTGTGAGTGGGAATTTCTGGTTAGAATCATATTTGTTTGATATTTCATATGAAACTAGTGACCCAGAGTACTTTAGCACAGTTTTTGATGCAGAACTTTGGAGCCATGATTATTGCCATCTCGACGTGGAAAATATATACTAAATTGGATTATTCTGGTTCTCAAAGCTGCTGCACTTTATTCAATTATTAGATGTCATATTTTTAGCAATTATTTTTTAATTTATAATTAATACTAATATAATTTGGGGTTGAATTTGTTTCTGGTTATGTAATATCCTTTTTATGGATTTTGTATATAATTTGTTTATTTGTTTTGATTTTCATAATTTTTTTTATGATATAATTTATGTTAGTAATTCTTTTTTTCCCTATCCTTATGTAATTTAAATGCAATAATATAAGAATTTTTCATAACATATATTCTTACTAATTCTTATTTACCTATAAAAATAATAAATACGCATAATTTATCATATCGTACAAAATAAAAATTGTATATAGTTAGCTGCTTTAAATATTTTGCGAACCGTAATTAACAAAAGGTAATATAAAAATTACTGCACAAATATATATATATATATATTAAAATTGAAAAAAATACGTATTTATAATCTCTTATTTACAAAATAATAAATACGCTATTTAATTAAATTAAGCACCTAAAAATCTATTTATATTAATTTTAACCAATATTTCTTACATTAATTATTTTAATTGTTAACACTAAACTAACTACATGGTTAGTATAATAACAATTGAAAAATATTAAAATTGTCAAAGATTAAAAAAATTGAAGAGTAGGAATTTAAATTTTATATTGATTTGAAAATTATATTTAAAACTAAAATTAAAAAATAATAATAACTCTAAAATAAATAATATATTAAATATAATAATTTACCCTAATCATATTATTATATATAATATTAGAATACTCTCTTTTTGTTAGACAGAATATTGATCTCTTTTCTAGACAATTATTGAGAAAAGCTGGCAAAAAAGTCACTATCCCCAACATTATTTGTTTCCTTCATGGGACCGAAGAGTTATGAAAAAGACTGTATGAATATAATCATCACAATAAAGATAACAAACACAAGTATTGGTGGGTCACTGTAATCAATCAATTGTGTAATGTTGATAAGTAATATGATAAATGCATTTATCTAATTAAAGTTATTTACTGTTATAAAATATATGTATGTCACCGTATCTTTTTGAAAGAAAAAATATGAAAATTTTGATCCCATATTTACCCTCTATTCAAAATTTTCGTCCATTTTTTAGAAGGTAGTTATATATTGACATTCATTTTATCTACAACTTGTTTTATTAATATTACAATTATTAAAAGCTTTAATTAAAAACTATTATTTTATTAATAAATAAAGTTGTGGTTGGGTTGTTTGAAAAAAATCAAGTTGTGAAAAATCATTTCCCTTTTATAAATAAACACAAAAATTTTCCATTTAGTCGGGATATTACTGTTCCTCATTTATAACATGTTACATTTTACATAAAAAAATAAAAAATAAAAAGTTAAGTATAAGATATACTTCATTGACATAATTTTTCTGTCATTTAAAGAAAAAGAATAAAATAAAATGTTTGTCCCTTTCTTTTTTTTCATCTTTTTCTTCTTTTTCTTGTTTCAAACCTATAAATATTATTTTAAAAAAATATTTATTACTTCACTAAAATGTAAAAATAGGTTTAACACGTACGAAAGATTTAAAAATTTGATTAGGAAACAAAATTTATAATTGAACTAAATATATTCTATTCTAATTCATTTAAATCATATTCAATATATAGATTTAAGATTAGTTAATCTTATGAATTGATCTATTTTATAAAATAATAATTATTTTTAAATAAAAATAAAAATAATAGTATTTTATTAATATATATATATATATATATATATATATATATATTATAAATTAGTTTGAGAAGTTATTTTAAGATTTAATAGTTAAATTATTTAATACTTTATATCAATAAATTATTAAAATAAAAATGATGACAAAAAAGAGCAGTGATGGAATCAGATATTTTAGACGAGTAGAGTCAAACTATAAAAATTAATTATCATATAAATAATAAATATATTATATTAAATGCTTAACATCATATTTAATATTATTAATTGAATTTAAATCTTAGAAATTAAAATTTATTTTTTCATCTATCATCTATTTTCTCTTTAAAAATGAGTATATAATTTTTTTTGAACATCTTTAAAACTCAAAGTGATTTTTTTTCACATCTTAATATTAAAATAAAGTATTCATAAAATATTAAAATAGAGTATCATAAAATGTTAAAATAACTAACTAATTAATAATAAATAAAATTATATCAATATTTTATATGTTTATACTAAAGTATACATACTAATTTGTTATAATAATAAATAAAAATATGTAAATTTGCTTACTATTTTTTACTTCAAGAAAATTATTGTAGGATATCTATTTTATTTTTTAACTTATTATTTTATGTCTTCAATGTAAAAAATAGAAAAATAAAAAGTTAAAGAACAAAAAATTATAATTTTTATGTCATAAAGATAAAATGGTATAAAAGAAAAATTTGAAAACTAAAGACAAAAACTTACAAATTTTATGTTGTAAGGTAAAATCATAAAAGAGAAGAATACGTGAATATATGTTAAAAAAAAGGATAATAATATAAAAAGATAAAGTGAGTGTTTAATAAAAAAAGTTTAAATGAAAAAGTAAAGTGGTGCGAGTAAAAAAGACAAAGAGAAGAAAAAGTAAATTTTGTAAGTGAAAAATCATGTAAGAGAATAAATATGATATTTATTATAAATAAAAATTGGAAAAGATAAAGATAAAAAAATTAATTTTAGATATATTTATAAAATGATTTTTATTTAATTTTTAAAAACAATTATTATATATAAAAATATATATTTTGTTGAAGGAACCGCAGTCTCGCTGCCCCTTAAATCTGTCACTAACATAGTAAGTTTTTACCTTTTATTCTAAAAATTAATAGATCCATTCATTTATAATTTATATATTAAATAATTATATCTTAAATAAAAAATTAATTTTATTAATATAATTTAAAATTTCAAAATATATTTGTTTCAGTTAATTATTTTCATATAAATATGTTAATATTTATTTTAATTTTTCATTTTTAATCTAGTTAAATTTAATTCATTTGTCCATTGATCTAATATAGAGTGAAGTTTATGATATATTTTAAAATATAGATCAAATTGAGTTATTAACTATTTTACTTGTCCCGTATTATAGGATCAGAACAAACTAAACAGTTTTACTTAATTTAATTAACGACTCTAATTAAATCATAATTTTTTTTATGAATTTCACAAACACAATTACTTACTATTATCCAGAATTTAAAAAAAGTGTTGCAAATACCTACTAGAAGTTTAAACAAACTATAAATAAAGAGTACTTTTTATTCCGCATATTTTCCTTTTCACCCCATATTAATATAAAATGATAATATTGCTCTTAATATAATAGATTCCTGAAAGCTTATTTTGAAAGTTATTCAGATTGACCTCTGGAAACTTTGCTCTAGATTAGCTTTCCATAAATATTTTGAAAAAATATTCGAAAAAAGTTTCGAAAAGTTCAATCCAAAAAATTGATTATGGAACACTTCGGAGAGACTAATCCAAAAAATTTTAGAATGAACTTTGTAGAAATTTTCTAAAAAAGTGGATCCGAAATAATAATAATAATAATAGTATATACGTAGGATGGTCCATGAATTCATTCTATTTCTCTTTCTGTCCCGTCACTTCCCTCAGGACCTCACACTTCCACCACCTATTCTTCTCGGCCTCCTTCAACATTCGATCCTTCAACCACTCTCATCAAGAATGGCGCAGGGACTGTGGTATTCCCTGTAGAATGGAAGTAGAAAGAAGGTACTGATCATAGAGGTACACATAGAAGTTAAAAAATCATAAAATATTTTGATCATTTAACATATATTACGAAGGTGGTGAGAAAAAAAATATATGGAGGTGATGAAAGAATATGCCTAGATATAAGCTAAGAGTGTGCATTGACCCAACATAAAGTAAGATAGACTCGATCCAAAAATTCTACTTCGGCTCGGCCCATTTAGACAGGCATTGTTGCAACAATTTTAAATCTAACTTACATCCAAACAATTTTAAACTATTAAAATCATTTTTATTTGTAATTGGAAGACCTTTATATAACATTTGAAAAAAAATTTATAAAGTGAATATTCATAGAAGATGATAAAAATGAAATAAAATTTCATAGTTTAATTGATCTAAATATTCAAATTTTCCAATAGAGTAAAAATTAAATTGACTCGATATAAACATCTTGTTAGTAGGAAATCGATAAAGGGATCGAAAAATGAAGGTAAGAAAAATCGATGATCATATGATTGGTTAAAAACTGATAAAATTGGTAAAAGACACCTGGTAATCACAAAGATAAAAACACATCGAAAATCAAAATAGAGAATCGAAGAAACAAATTTCGATGTCTATTGTTGAAGAGAATCGAGAGATTAGAATAGTGCAAAGTTAAGAATTAAAGGGAATCAAAAGCAAAATTCAAAATACTCGATGTCTGAAATCGAGATCAAGGGAGCGATTAACACATACAGGGGACACGGGAAACGGTTCCGAAACTGTGGCTCAGATCGAAGATCAAGGGAGCAGTTCTCTTATGCGTGAGAACGTGGAATGCAGTTTTTTACTATAAGACTGAAGATACGTGCACATAGGATCGTGGTGACGGTTTTATTAACCACTCTTAGGAGGTTACTTGATGGATGCTCTATAAATAGAGCGAAGACTGGAAAAAGAGGGGGAAATTGGCAGAGAGAGCTGAAATACTAGTGAAAAAGTCTACCGGAGAACGATGAAATGATGAAGTTTCTGGCGATCTGGATTTCCATTTTCATTGATTGTCTTTACCGCTTTTTGTACTTTTCCTGGTAATTTATGTTCATGCAATTTATTTTGATGCAGTTTACGTTTAGCAACTTTAAGTTTTTGCACTTTCAATTCCTTGTCACTTATTTCTATGCAAGTTAAGGTTATGCGTTTAAGATCCTCGTCAGTTACATTTCTGCAATTTCGATTTTCCGTTCTTTACTTTCTTGTTATTTACATTTCTGCAATTTCGATTCTTGTCGTTTACACTTAATGCAAATTTGAGGTTTCCGCATTTTTTACATTCCTGCAATTTAACATTCTGCACGGCTTTTCGATTCAACAATTTTACTGCTTTCTTTACTTCGCGTTATTTAATAAAAAACACCAAAAATAGTACTTTCGATTTGCACTTTAAGTAATGTTGTTTGCATTCATGAGATTATCGATTCTCATGCACTTTTCGATTGAAAACTAGTTGCTAGCCTAAGTAAAAAGAACCTACATGGTCGAGATTTGATTAGGGCTCAACTCCCCATAAATCGAAATCAATCAAATTTTCACCAGAAACACATCTCAAGCTAAAAGAAAGAAATCAAGGTTTCTAATAATCACGCTCTTAGTTTTCTTGTAGTGCTGGGATCATTTTAGTTCTCTAAATTTTAGTTATTTAGTTTTGTCCCACATTTTAAAATTGTATAATTTTGATCATAAAATTTTTTACATTATAATTTATTAACTTGAAATTTAATATATAACAGAAATTCTTATATGAATGTGTTGACACTACTACAAATAAAGCTTTCAACGTCGGTTCGGAAGGCTTTCAACGTCGGTTTAATAACCGACGTTGTATCAGGCGACGTTGAAAGTCGTAACTTTCAACGTCGGGTCTAATAAACCGACGTTAAAGTTTTTACTTTAGATAGCGGTTATAAGGGAACCACTTATTTAATATAGACTTTAGATAGCGGTTATAAGGGAACCGCTATCTAATATAGACTTTAGATAGCAGTTGTAAGGGAACCGCTATCTAATATAGACTTTAGATAGCGGTTATAAGGGAACCGCTATCTAATATAGACTTTAGATAGCGGTTATAAGGGAACCGCTATCTAATATACAGATCATAAGTCTACTTTCAACGCTCGGTTTATTAGAACCGACGTTGAAAGTATGATTTTTTAAATTAATAATTTTTATTTATTTACAACCCCTTTACCCCCTTTTATTTATCTAGAAGTCTCCCCTCTCTTCATATTATATTTTTATTAGGTCCTCCATCTCTTTATATTATATTTTTTAGAAGTTTTTTAATTTTTAAGAGAATTGTCATTGGCAGGATTCGAACCCAAGTACTTTAGAGTTGGAGGCTGATACTCCAACCACTAAACTACTTGAATTTTTTTATAATAACTTACAAATAAATTATATTTATATACAAATAAATATATATCCGTGTAATTATCACTACTAGAAAAATGTCAAATAGTAACTTCGAATTTCAACCCCAGCCTCAACCTCGACGAACTCGAGGCCGAACCCCAACTCTGGCGACATCGAACCCCAATGTCAAGCCAAACCCAATTGTCATGCTGTGAAACCCAACGCAAACCCAGCGGAGCTCGATGATATATTCAATGTATGTTAAAAAAGTTCAAGCCAAACTGTTTTTATAGAAGATTTTCAAAACTGCTGGTTTAATTCATCTGTTAAAATATTCTTTTAATCTGTTAAAAGTGCAGTTTTAATCTGTTAAAACTTCTTTTAATCCATTAATACGTTCTTTATTCTTTAACAGATTTGTTTTAACTGATACGACAACGTTTATATCAATTAAAACACTTTACAAAAAATCTTCTAAGTTGATTTAATCGATTGTTTCGCGATTCAATCGATTGAAATACTGCAAAACTTTCGCGTGACACTTTTCAAGTAATTTTAACTGATAAAAATAAGTTTTAATCGATTAAAACGCTGTGCAGAAATTGTTTTAATCGATTGAAACGAGATTTAATCGATTAAAATAGTTCTGATCGGTCATAACTGCATTCTGATCGATCATAATTGAAACAATATAATAGCGGTTCCAGGTTAACCGCTATCTAAAATGTATCTCGCTTGAGCGACACCCTTCGCTCGAGCTAAACGCACCTGCACAAAATTAGCATTCTCGGGTTGTATTTCGCTTGAGCGACACTACCTCGCTCGAGCGAAATTAGATTCTGATCGATCATAACTTGAAATGATCGATCATAATTGAGAGGATATAATAGCGGTTCCCTTATAACCGCTATCTAAAGTGTATATTAGATAGCGGTTATAAGGGAACCGCTATCTAAAGTGCATATTAGATAGCGGTTATAAGGGAACCGCTATCTAAAGTGTATATTAGATAGCGGTTCCTTATAACCGCTATCTAATATACACTTTAGATAGCGGTTCCCTTATAACCGCTATCAATAAGTAAAAAATAAAATAAAAAAAGACTTTCAACGTCGGTTCATATGGGAACCGACGTAGAAAGTACTTTCTACGTCGTTTGACTAAGAACCGACGTTGAAAGTGTATTTAACGTCGGCTCAGCTTGAACCGACGTTAAATGGCGACGTTGAAAGCATATTTTGTAGTAGTGTGATTTAGCTACATAGCTAGCAAGGGGTTGATGCAGATTCCAATTATTCATTGCTCAATTTTAATTTTTTATATTTTTTTAATTGTACGATTATGGTTTAGGGTTCCTCTATGAACTTAACTAATCTAGTTTATCTAAAGTGATCAATTCACTTAAAAGGCAATGTAAGTAATCTGAATGGATGAGGAAATTAACAATATATAATATTACATTTATATACAAAACAAATTATAAATATCCGTGTTTCAATATCAACCATTTTTTTTTCATTGATAATCGATGTTATTTTATTCATCATTACAGTTCTTGAATAATTAAATTTTAACTTCAGCAATTGAAAATAGAAAGTTGATTACGGAGCAAAGAAATCATGAAAGGGAAGAACTACACACACATATATATATATTGACTAAAATTAAAATAACACTTTTAATATTATATTGTAAATCATTTTAATATTAGTATTATATAACTTTTTTAGAAGTGCATTATAAATATTACTCCAAAATTTGATAATAAAAATTATACTTACAATTTTTTATTTAAATATTAATTTATTTATTATGTCAATAATAATATCATATTTCACCATTAATTTGTACAGAATGACAACACAATGTTGGCAAAATTTGGGTCATGTATATATATATGATACATATTTAAATGTGTTAGGGTCATTATTTATTAAGCCAAATAATAAAGTGATCTGACTAAATTAAAAAGGTTTGACTAAAGACATATGTCATGAAAATAAAATTGTGTAAAGATCATAGAGCAATTTCTAATTTGATGAGGGGTCAAATTGGAAATACTAAAACTTAAGTAATTAACCTAATTTTGGTTATTTTAAGGGGTCATGGTCCCCTTCTGGGAGCACATAGACAGAACACAGTTACAGTCCCGTTCTTTTCTTTCTATCCCCATCAAGAGAGAAAATCATGAGAGGGAAATACAGGTGCTCTTCAGGTGGAAGACCATAAGATCCATAGTGCTCTAAAAGGGACATCATCATTATGGTTAATTCAGGTACGCTTTCGCATTTAGTTTACAACATGTTTATGAGTATGAGATTACTTTATATTTGATCGTTAGATTGAAGATCATATTTAATTATCAGTTTACCTAACAAGTGGTATCAGAGCCACCCATATATGATTCATGTTTGTATTTGGTAAATTAAGATTTAAGAATTCAGAACCCTAATCTCAAATTTTCATAAACCCTAAATTAAAATTTGGGGTTAAATATCCTGGTTTTCTCTTCGCTTCACAACCACCAAACAATACAACCACTTCATCCGCCAACGTCGCTTCGTTTCTTCACTTTGATACGTCGATGCTGGACTGGGAGTCTGCGGCACTGCTTTATTTGATTTCCGAGCACGGGGGATACGCATACGTGAGCATGGCGGTGCTGGCGTCCGGTGGCGACATTTGTGCGATGACGGCAGCGCGTGAGATGGCGTGGGAGCAGCTTCACTCCGGACTGTGGCACTCCGTTCTGCTCGTGTGGCGCGACGCGTACTCCATGGCGTGCCTTCACGTGGCGCAGTACCATTCCGGTAACGACGAGTTCAGAGAGGCGCTTAAGGTTTTGGATTTGGGAATCATCATGGGAGGGATGCTCCTCCGCAAGGATTTGGACTCTGCCGTCGCGAAAGTGTCGGAACAAACACGAAGGAGCGTTAGGGTTTTTGATTTAGGGGACTCTGGCGCACAGTTCGTGGAATGATACCGCACAAGACAAAATGTGGGACCCGCTGCCTTAATTAACAAGCCATCATATGTGGCACGTGTGGACAAGAAGGTGAATCTGATGGTGTTAATGTCGTGGGACCCGCTGCCTTAATTAAAAAGCCATCATACGTGGCATTATAGTACAATTTTTTTTTATTAGAAGTGGTCCTTGAGACTTAATTTGGTTCAGGGTTACCCTTATTATTATATTCAATTTGTTTGGTAGTTTAATATTTTTATGAGCAAATTGAGTCAAGAAGTTACCAAAGTAACATCTCTTGAATTGGGTAGTTCGTGAAAAATATTAAATGTTAGTGTTTGTGTATATTCATGTGAGTATTAGTCGGCCCAAAGGAAGATTAATATTTGGCCGAATTGCATATACACTTGTAATGATAAACATGTGATAATTATAAGGATTTGCTTTGTCGATGATAAATCAATCCAAAGACTGGTTTGTTGTTGGACGTGCTTTATTGTCAATGTTTGATTATTACAATAAGATATCTCTAGTAGTTAATATTACTGTCCAAAGACTTGATATTGATGGTGCATTGGGTGTCTTAAGATGGGTTAAACCATTATTTGAATATATATTTTATTTATAATTATTTATTTTTATAATGTGAGCATAATTAATTTATTTCTCTTGTTTTTAATTTAGCTACAATTGTTTCTGTATCTGCCAATTTAAATTATGTTCCGATCCTCAAAAGTATGTTTCTTATTTTGGTCTGTTCTGAAGTCAATTTAGTGTCAGTACCTAGTAACACTTGGTGTTTAGACTCAAGTGCAACTACTAACATCAGTGTTTCTATGAAGTGTTGTTTAAGCTACCGGAAGTCAATTGATTCTGAAAGATGGATATATGTTGGAGATGACAAATCGGTAGAGGTGGAAGCTATAGGGCATTTTAAATTGTTATTGAGCACTGGTTTTTATTTGGATTTGAAAGACACTTTTGTTGTGCCTTCATTTAGACGGAATTTGGTTTCAGTTTCTTATCTGGACAAATTAGGTTATTTGTGTTCATTTGGAAACAATAAGTTCAGTTTGTCTTTTAATTCAAATATTATTGGAACTGGTTCACTTTTGTCTTATGATAATCTGTATTTACTTGATACTGTGACCACCTATAATGAAACCCTTAATACAGAATCACGGGGTACTAAACGTAAAATTAGTGATACTCACTCAGGAGCATTATGACACAGGCGCTTAGGTCACATCTTTAAAAATAGAGTTGAACGACTTGTGTTAAATGGAATCTTAGAGTCCATTGACTTCACAAACTTTGATGTTTGTGTTGAATGCATTAAGGGCAAACACACCAAAGCGAAGAGTTTAGGTGCATATAGAGCTACAAACGTCTTAGAGTTGATACATACGGACATTTGTGGCCTATTTCCTACACCTTCGTGGAATGGTCAACAATACTTTATATCATTCATAGACTATTACTCACGATATGCATATTTATTCCTTATACATGAAAAGTCACAATCTCTAGACGTGTTCAAAACATTTAAAGCTGAAGTTGAAAATCAACTCAATAAAAGAATTAAGTCTGTCAGATCTGATCGTGGTGGTGAGTACTATGGCAGATTTGACGGGTCAGGTGAACACCGTCGAGGACCTTTTGCCAGGTACCTAGAGGAGTGTGGAATTGTCCCACAGTATACCATGCCGGGATCACCTAGCATGAATGGTGTAGCTGAAAGACGAAATTAAACTCTTAAAGATATGGTCATGAGTATGATTTGTCATTCCACCTTACCAGAGTCACTCTGGGGAGAGGCACTAAAGACGACAGCTTAAAGATATGGTCAGGAGTATGATTTGTCTGAACAAAGTACCAACTAAAGTAGCGACCAAAACACCTTATGAGCTTTGGACTGGGCGACAACCTAGTTTGAAGCATTTCCATGTGTGGGGTTGTCCAGCTGAGGCAAGGCCTTATAAGCTAAATGAAAAGAAATCGGACTCACGAACAGTAAGTAGTTATTTTATTGGTTATGCTGAAAGATCTAGGGGATATAAATTTTATGATCCCACATTAAAGACAATTTTTGAGACGGGAACTGCTACATTCTTTGAGGATATTGAGTTTGGGGGGAAGAATAAAATCAGGAACTTTGTCTTGGAGGAAGAATCGGTAACAATTCCAGAACCGATTCAAGCAGTTACTTTTGATAAAGTAAGTTCGGAACCTCCACAAGACATTGTTAATGAACCCCTTACTCAAGATGATTTGGTTGTTCATGAAGAACAAACTCAAGATCCTCAAGAATCTATGCATCATGAGCCAATAACTTTGCGGAGATCCACTAGAGAAAGAAGAAGTGCTATTTCGGATGATTACATGGTATTTCTTCAGGAACATGAGGAAAACAATGGTATGATGGAAGATGACCCAGTTAACTTCCGTCAAGCCATGCAAGGTTCTAACTCTGAAAAGTGGATTGAAGCAATGAAGGAGGAGTATAAGTCCATGCAAGACAACAAGGTTTGGGAACTTGTCCCATTACCAGAAGGTATGAGACCCATTGGTTGCAAGTGGATATTTAAGACCAAACGAGATTCTAAAGGTAATGTGGAAAGGTATAAGGCTCGTCTGGTAGCTAAGGGCTATACCCAAAAGGAAGGGATTGACTTTAAAGAGACTTTCTCTCCAGTTTCATCGAAAGACTCTTTTAGGACAATCATGACTCTTGTAGCACATTATGATTTGGAGCTTCATCAAATGGATGTCAAGACGGCGTTTCTCAATGGCAACATTGATGAGACGATTTATATGGTACAACCAGGGAGATTCAAAGAATATGGTTTACAAACTGACAAAATCCATTTATGGACTAAAGCAAGCATCTCGTCAATGGTACTATAAATTTCATCAAGTAATTCTCTCATTTGGCTTCGAGATGAATATTGTTGATGATTGTGTATATCACAAGTTTAAGGGGAGTAAGTATATTTTCCTGATCTTGTATGTTGATGACATTCTACTTGCCACTAATGATATAGGCATATTGCACGAAACCAAGAAATTTTTACCAAAGAATTTCAAAATGAAAGATCTTGGTGATGCATCTTTTGTATTAGGAATTCAGATACACCGAGATCGATGTCGGGGTATTTTAGGATTATCACAAAGGAACTATATCGAAAAAATTCTTAAAAGGTTTGGCATGCATGAATGTAAATCCGGGGATACTCCAGTTGGTAAGGGAGACAAGTTTAGTCTCAACCAGTGCCCAAAGGGGAATTTGAAAATTGAGGAAATGCAAAAGATTTCCTATGCATCAGCTGTAGGGAGTTTGATGTACGCCCAAGTATGTACGCATCCAGACATAGCATACATAATTGGGGTTCTAGGCAGATATTTAAGCAATCCAGGAATGGACCATTGGAAAGCAGCAAAAAGGGTCATGAGATATTTAAAGAGAACAAAAGATTACATGCTCACATACAGGAGGTCAGACCAGTTGGAGATCGCTGGGTTTTCTGACTCGGACTTTGCAGAATGTCAAGATAGTTTGAAATCCACTTCAGGTTACATTTTCATGTTAGCAAGTGGTGCGGTTTCTTGGCGCAGTGTCAAACAAACCCTTACAGCTTCATCCACTATGACAGCAAAATTTGTAGCATGCTATGAGGCATCAAATCATGGAATATGGCTGAAAAATTTTGTCACAAGGCTGCAAATTGTAAAAGGCATAGAAAGACCACTTAAGTTATATTGTGACAACAAATCAGCTGTATTGTATTCCAACAACAACAGAAGTTCGACTAAGTCAAAGCACATCGACATTAAGTTTCTAGTTGTTAAGGAAAGAGTACAAATTGGACAGATTTTCATAGAACATTTAGGGACAAACTCCATGATAGCAGATCCTCTAACTAAAGGACTTCCGCCCAAGGTCTTTCATGAGCATGTTGCTCACATGGGTGTTTTACAATTTGAGGAATTTGTGGTTTAGTGAGAGTTAATTACTTTCATATATTTTATGTTCTATGTTTAATTTCATATATGTATACATTTAATTTTTGGGCATATTTGGTTATCTATAGATATGCGGGTTTTTTTTTGTTCATTCATTACACTTTGTACATTAAGGATATTATATCGATCTCGATAAGTTAAAGTTTGGACCAGTTGAAAATAGACGTGTACAGATCACCTTCACGTAATTTTTCATGCTACACATTTCATGATGAATCCATGTCATTTGGTTATGTTAGGATGAGTAATCATTGTTGGTTTTAGTTGCGATGATGCAATGAAAAGCTGCTTTGGTTCTATATCCTGATATGATTAATGGATAGGACTTTTGGAATATGCTAAAGGAATATAATGGCAATTTTGAGCTCATAAAGTCTAACACATTTGTAAGGTTGTAAGGACATATATATTTGTGACCAGTGGGAGATTGTTGGCAAAATTTGGGTCATGTATATATATGATACATATTTAAATGTGTTAGGGTAATTATTTATTAAGCCAAATAATAAAGTGATCTGACTAAATTAAAAAGGTTTGGCTAAAGGCATATGTCATGAAAATAAAATTGTGTAGAGACCATAGAGCAATTTCTAATTTGATGAGGGGTCAAATTGGAAATATTAAAACTTAAGTAATTAACCTAATTTTGGTTATTTTAAGAGGTCATGATCCCCTTCTGGGAGCACGTAGACAGAACACAGTTACAGTCCCGTTCTTTTCTTTCTATCCCCATCAAGAGAGAAAATCACGAGAGGGAAATACAGAGTGCTCTTCGAGTGGAAGACCATAAGATCCATAGTGCTCTAAAAGGGACATCATCATTATGGCTAATTCGAGTACGCTTTCGCATTTAGTTTACAACATGTTTATGAGTATGAGATTACTTTATATTTGATCGTTAGATTGAAGATCATATTTAATTATCAGCTTTACCTAACACACAAGAATTAAAATAAATTATATTTAAAACTATAAGTTAATATATCTTATTTTTATAATATCATATTATTTATTTATAAATAACAAATATATGTGTCCACACATTTAAATTGTTTTTAATATATTTTAATTTTTATATATAATGTTAAAGCATAGGATCATGAGTTCAAATCTTCTTCGTGACCTTCACATCATGCCAACCCTAGATGTCATTTTGTATTGTGACAACAAATCAGCATGTCATATAGCCCACAATCAAAGCTTTTACAAACGGACCAAGCATCTCAACATCAATTGTCATGTAATACGTGAAAAGGTCTTATCCAACCTCTTTCATCTTCTTCCCATTCGCTCTGAGGAACAACTCGTTGATGGATTCACCAAAATTCTTCACCACACTTAATATCGAACCGTCATCTCCAAGTTTGACCTCCTGAACATCCACCGTCCAGCTTGAGAGGGATGTTAGAATAGGTTGAGGGTAACCGTTTGTGGTTACCCTGTGTATGTTCTCGGAAACCTATTTAAGATAAGTTCCCCCCTTTTGTATTGTAACATTTTTCTTTACTCTAATAATACAATGTTTTCTCTTGCTTTCATACCTGTTCTCTCTTCTCTATCGGCTTAAGCTCTGTTTCAGTGCTTCCTCTCTGTAATTCTTCAGATCCACCTTCTTCCTCTCTTCTCTGCTGCCATGATCCTTCTTCCTTTCTAGGGTTCGTCCCAAACAGTTACCATACCTATTAAAAAGATTCACCACACTATTTGAGATGAAAATTATTTCCCAAAAAATGGTTTGAGATTGAAGACAAGGCCAAAAATTCCAATTTTGTTGCTAGAAGCTGAATGAATGAAAACTCATATAATTAGCTCAATGGATGTAAGTATTTAATTATCACCAACCTTTAAAGAGTCAATTATCTTTAAAAAAAATTCACTCTAATCATCCTTTTATGTATCTTTTTGAAGGTTTTTTACTATTTTTTTATTTTAAAAACATTAATCACATTTATTTATTTTTCATTTAATACAAGGTATATGTGTTATAGCATTAACTAAATCTGTAGCATTGTTTGTTTAATTAAGTATAAGTTGACTTTTCTACTTCAAGCATTTGTTTGAATTATATATGAAAAAAGGAACAAGTAAGTTTGCTGGCTACTTATATGCCAAATATAGTAGGTGTTATTATAATGCAAAGTTATTAATTGCCACATGCATTCAATTACAGAGTCAAATATATATTTAAATTTTAGTTAAAAATTATTAAGTTGAATTTTTATCTGAGGTTCTGACACACGCTTTCAATTATCAAAGAGTTTCATCGGTCAAAAGGCAACGTGATTAATACATACCATGCCCTATAATAACAATTTGCATTTAACAATAGAAAAGAAAAAGAGACATGCAATTTTCTGACCACATGTATTTTTTGTTCTAATATATGTAGCAGACTTATCACTTGTTCCAGTTAGTAAAATATATTTTCATGTGAGCTGTCATGGCTTTTGACCAAGGAATTTCATGAAAGAAGAAAGGTGTTATCTTGTTCAGTTAATTAGTTATACAAAATCATAGTGTGTTCTACAAAAGTACACTAATATAATTATTCTGGGCAATATTTTATCAATAGATGTACCAGAAACCGCGTTTAGTTGATACATAATTAATCATAAAAAAAGACTGAGAACCATAACCTGACCTTCAATATATTCTCCATGAAATTGAAAACTGTCTACTCCTGACTCTATCAATTAGCACGTGATGATTTGAATCCCTAAATACGACAGATAATAAATCATAAATATATATTAGCAGTATTTTATAATTGCAGCACCAGAATCTGAACAGCTTTCGGATTCTACTGCTTTGGTGTCCGTGTTTCCATAAAATGACAAAATGATTATCAAATCTTTATTATATATATAAACCTAATAAATTTTGAATGTAGGTGGTTTCTACTGCATAGTTTAAGGTTTAGGTTTCCAGGTACTCGTTATTTTGATTAGTAATAATAAAAAAGTTTATATTTTATTAACTTTTGAAATATTATTATTTATTGTGATGGGAAATAGAGAGAAGTATCATGCTGATAAGAATGGACAAGATGAATAACATACCCTTATGGTAGTATGGTAACAGAATCCCACCCTTATATTAAAGGACTTCTTAAAAAAGTTTAAGAAAGCATAGGTCAATAGTTTGAGCAATAATATAAATATAAGTCAACACCGAAAATTATAAAAAGAAAAGCTCATAAATTCATTATAAAAAAAGCAATAATAATTTTTATATATAATCAATCCTATAAATAATATATTTTAAACAATATTCAAATAAAATATCTGTCAAATTATTTATTCAAGTAGATATTCTTTTCCATTTATTCTTCTAACTAAAAAAAATACTATATTAAAATTTGATATCTTAAAGTAAAATTTTTAAAATAAAATTTGAAATTTAAAAAATATCAACTAATTAATTATTTAAAATTATTATTATAGTAAATAATTTTATTTATTATGAAAATAAATAATTTTATTTATAATAATGTAAATAATTAATTTAAAATTATTTTATCATAATAATTCAATTATTCACCTAATTAAAAAATATCAAATATTTATGAGTTAAATGTATTTTTTATTTAAGAATTTAATCTAGTTATAATTAGATTGAGTCATATCATTTAGATTAGATAATTTAAAAAATACTTATTAAAAAATTACTTTAAAATAAATATTTATTTTTTTCTTAATAATTATAATATAAATATATAATATTTTTTAATATAACTATAATTTATTTTGTAATACCTTAAAATTTATTATATAATATTTTTAAATATAATATATTAAATTATAGTATTTATGAATATTTTAAATAATTTTAGTTTTCAAAAATAACAAAAGATATTCATTTTATCAAACTTTAATTTAATATTTTTAATTAGAAGAATAAAATGGAGTGAGAGAATAACAAAAGAGAAATAAAGAAAGAGGAAAACAAGTATTAGATAAAAAAAATAAAAAAATAAAGAGAAAAATAATTGTATTTACCATATAATTTTTTTTACTATTAAATTTTGTATATAAACAATAAATAATGGATAAATAAACATATATATTTAAGTAATTTTTATTTTAAATATATTATTTATTCTCCTTTATATATATATATATATATATATATATATATATATATATCCTTTATAAATAATATACAAAGGAAAAAAACTGTCATTTAAAAAAAGTAAAAGGAAGAAAAGAAACAACACAAAAGGAAAGAAAGTCATGATTTGATCTCCCTGATTCACATGCATGTAAATTTTGTTTGATTTGATAATAAAAATGGGTTTATTTCATATTAGCTTATTATTATTATTATTATTATTATTATTATTATTATTATTATTATTATTATTATTATTATTATTATTATTATTATTATTATTTCCTTCTCATATCATATCTCTTCTATACGATCTACAATATGAAATTTCAATTTTTTTTTAAATGATAGAAATTATTATGTAAAATATGTTATTATTATTTTAAGAATATTTTGTGGTGGTAATTGTTTAAAGATTAATTTAAAGTTTAATTTGTAATTATATTTTGTATATATTCTTAATGAATATAAAAAAAAATTAGGTATGATTTCCTAGATAGAGAAGAAAATATTTTCAATCATCACTTTGAATTTCTTTAAAAAATATTAGTTTAAATATGGTTTTCATTTTTGAAATGCGTTTAAATTTGTTTTAGTTTTGAAATATTTTTTTTGTTTATAATCTCTAAAAAAATAGTTTTATTTTATACATGAAAATTTTGATTCTATTAAGTTATCCAGAATTTTTTTTAAGTATTTCCGATTTATTCATTTTGGTCAAGACAAAATTCTTTGTATATTTCATTCGATAGTAGAATCCATATAAAAACACAAAGAAAGTATAAACATAAATTTAGAAATAAAAAGATAAGAAAGTTTATTAAAAAAAGAAAAGAAAAAGCAAACATATTTGAAGAAGAACAACACAATTAAGTCAAAATACTTTGTGAATGGAACACCTGTTGAATGACTTGACTCTACTTCAGTGTTTACGGGTTGTGTTTTGTGCTTGTGGATTTCCCCCACGTGTGTTGAGTTTTATAAGGAGCGTTCATGTTTCGTGTTACGTTCCTGGAAGATACGAGTTAGCACGGGACCTATGATGTCACTATTGTCCCATATATAATATCATAATGTGAAAGTAAAGTATAAACACAATTTTTGACCGTTATAGGACCTGCTGAGAAAGACCCTTACCCCCAAGTGACATGAATCTTTTATTAATTGCATTAAATTTATTATTAATGAAAGTTGAATAGAACATGAAACACGTTTTGGATGTAAACGCGTTCACCATATAAATATGTAACTTCTCTTACACAGACACCATTCTCACACGCTTACCAACACAACTGCAATATCCTCTAACTACTCACTCACTCTGAGTCTGAGTGCACCTGTTTTTTCACAAAGATGGTGAGAACCCCGTCTTGTGACAAAAATGGACTGAGGAAGGGTACTTGGACTCCGGAGGAAGATATGAAGTTAGTTGCTTATGTCACTAGGTATGGATGCTGGAATTGGCGCCAACTTCCCAAGTTTGCAGGTATATATATATTTAAAATTTTGTAAAAATTGAGCCAAATAATTAGTAAGGATTTATAGACATGGGAGAAAAAAGTACTAATTCTCTATCTGGCGGTTTTTAGGTCTTGCAAGGTGTGGGAAAAGTTGTAGATTGAGATGGATGAATTATCTGAGGCCTAACCTCAAAAGGGGAAACTTCACTCCACAAGAAGAAGAATGTATCATCAGAATGCACAAGAATCTTGGCAACAGGTATCATCACTTCCTAATACTCTAATACAATGAAATATACCAACAATTCAAATAATTCTTATTTCAAATGGGGAATATGCTAATCTGATGATTCCTTCACTTGCAGATGGTCTGCTATTGCGGCTGAGTTACCCGGAAGAACAGATAACGAAATAAAAAACCATTGGCACACCACTCTCAAGAAAAGGTCTGAACAAAACACACATACAAGTGAAGAAGTTAGAGCCTCCAAATCAAAGAATAAAGAATCCAGGCAAGGGAGGAACTCGGTTCCCAACAAAAATGGTGTTACTGTTACTCTTCCAGCTACTTCCCAGATTTCAGACAATTCATCAGGCTCATTCTCGCCAGTTTCATCCGCCAGCAGCGAGTTTTCCTCCATAACTTCAGATCATTCCAGTGCTGCTAGTATGGAAAATTTGGTGTTTGAAGAACATGACTTGGGTTTTCTGGATTCATACGTGAATGAAACTTTCTGGAAAGAACTAAACCTGCTGGATGGAGTTTCCTACGGTGCACCAAGTGAAGTAGTGTCAGGAGATACCAATGGCAGTTTTGAAAGTACAAGTTGTAGCCAGATGGCTGATTCTTGTGCATTATCTCCGCATGAATCATCATCCAGTGAAAGCATGGTAGTGGACAATGACTTGGGCAGCTTTCTGGATGCATATGGAGAGGCAACAGTTGATAACTTTTGGTCGCAACCATATGTGGCTGACGTGTCCCATGTTCCAAGCGACCTACTTGTTCCCTCCGTCGCAGAATCTGAATATTTATATGATGATTTGTGGGGTCAAAGTCATTATGTACAATGAAAATCTTAACTTTATTCTAAGATTGATGTAGCAGTGGCTATCCTCTATTTCTCTTGTACCAATTTTTAATTTGGTGAGAAAGAATACTATCTTTAATCCCTCTTACAGTATGCGTTAATCCCTCCTATTATAGTTTAAATTTACTTTAACCATTCCAATGAATCTTAATTTTTCATTTCAAATTCAGTAAAATGTTTAATTAAGTATTAATTTGTTATTGAGTTTTTAATTATCAAATACAGTTTGATAAAATTATATTTTTTTTCATATTTCGTTAATATGGCGAGATTAATTTTTATTTTCAATTTGTTCTGTTGTCTAAGTGTATGTATACTTGAAAGTTATGGGTTTAATCTTCAAACTCTTACAGTGTGTATATTGAACGATCAATGTTAAATAATGCTTTCAAATTTTTTTAGTGGGATGAACTCACATTTATTGTAGAAAACAAAATAAATATAAAAAAGACAATTTTTTATACTTTTGTGTTAAAACATGAATATACCACATTGATTATATGCATAACTAATGCAAAAACTTGACGAATTTTTATATTAATGATGACTACATTAACTCTATAACTGTAATTGAATGCTCAAAATAACAAAAGTAAAGGATTATCCTCTCTTAGTAATGACTACTTTATTCAAAATAACAAAATTTTGTTGCTTCATTTTCTTATATAATAAATCGACTAATTATTTTATAGATTTAGGAGATTAATTAATTTAACTATAATTTAAAAAAAAAGTATGCTGGAAAATGTATTAATGAATCTCCTCTAATTAATTTACAATGGATTCTAAAAAAATAATATTATTTGAGACTGAACAAGTCTGGACAAAATCCAAGTTTGTTTTCACGAGCTCAATTAATTTCAAACAATATACTAAGACATAAGTCTATGGCAAGTTATTAATACCAGAAGCTTTTACAGAGTCAAAGTGTATATATCTAGTAACCTAGATTTTGTTAGACAAAAATATTAAGTTGAATTCTATCAGAGAATTAGATTTAAACACGGTTTCAATTACCAAAGAGTTAACGAGTCAAAACCCAACGTGATTCACACATCCCGTGCAAAATAATAAAAAAAGAGCTACGTAGTTTTCTTCCACATAATACCTTTCTGACCATGTTTTGTTGTACTATTCATCATTTGCAGTCAGAGAAACCTATTCAGTAGATTTATATTTCTATACTAACTGCCACGAGTTTTGACCAAGGACTTTTATATATTAAAGAAGAAAGTTTAGTTAAGTACAAAAATGTTTTATTATATATAGAATAAAAAGAAAGAAAAGTGCTGCTATAGAAGTACCCCAATTACTATTTTACTGGTTTATATACCAGAAACCGCGTTGTTCTCCATAATAACGAGGAAAGACTGAGAATCCATCAGTTGACCTTATTGCATTCCCCGATGAAATTGAAAAATGTATATTCTCCTGACTCTTCAATTAGCACATGCCACATTGAAACCCTAGAAACGACAGAACTAATAATAAATCATAAATATTAGCATGACATGTTCTTGTTTATATTACAGTGCGGCAAGCTGAAGGGGAATCTCATGCTGAAGTATTCTCCTCTTGTGTTTCCGTGTACTGACAAAACGACGAAATCATACAAATAAGATAACATCTCTAATTTCACGTCCGTGTCCAACGGTCCATTCGCAATCTACCTACTCTTAGCTCAATGTTTCTGACGTACGTTTTGAGTATAAAAAAGAAGTTTTAATAGGTTTTCTGAATCTTTTTAATTAGATTATTGACGCAAATTAGTTTCGAAGGTCATTTGAAACTGTCAGAGGAAGAATAATTATAACAGTTTTACTAATTGTATATTCGCTTAATTGTAATATTTTAAATCATAAAATTCAGTAGTCTGATATGTATTAGGAAAAGAGACAAGAAATTTACAGGAACAAAACAATCACTCTCTCATTATATCATTAAATTTATTATTTTACTCAAGATCTAGAATTTGATTCAAATTTAATAATTAGAAAAATATAATTCAAAGATAATTCACTAGAATAGTCAGCCAAAAATTGCACCTAGGGAAGTAATAGAAATAAGAAGTAGATAAATGTGAATTCTAATTTGACTTGCTAATTGCATGTTGACTGTAGAAATGATAGTTGGTTTATCAGAAATTCTTGATTCCTGCCAAGACTCAGTGTGCGACTGAAGTATTTAAGTAAAGATAGGGTACACAGAGGAGCCATTCTGACACAATGTTCCTAAAATGACAAGATGCATTAAATGCATATGAAATTCAATGAGGCTCAAATTAACAATATTAACCCAAAAGAGTTTTGGTGTACTGACAAAATTATTCTCCATGTCAACACATAATTTTTTTTTCTATTTATCGTAACTGAAATCATTACATTATTTCTGTGCAGGTTTAGATTAAAGTTTATAGGTTGAAATTTCAGTAAACTTAAATTAAGTTTGTAAAACTAATCTAAATCTTGTTTCTACAAAACGGAATTTTAAAACAAAATATTAATATACAAACATATTTTCAAGAATAACTAAATATAAATCTTTCAAAAATTCCCTTTAAAAAGACGACAATAATTTGCAGGGCTCCAAGAGAAAGTCACTGTCTTAATGCAAATATAGGCTTGACAAAGCTTCCTGAGTATATATTGAGATCCTACCTGTGTACTAGTTTCCAAAGACATTTTCCAATTAGCGATATCATTGTTTACTGATAAATGATGCTGGTTAAAGTGTTATAATGCAATTTTAATGTACTTAGAAAACATGAAATGAAAAGGTAAATGTATATAAAGTCTTAAAAGTTTGTATAAAAAAATCAAATACTTTTTCTATGTAGTAAATAGGAGGTTTGATAAAAAAGATATTGTACAAGAAGTTAATCTTTTTATTCTTACATATATATTTCAAGGTGTTAAAATTTTACAAAAGTTTGGATGATATAATAAGATCAAAGAATCACGTGGCTGAATTTTAAAACTAGGAAAAATATGATTTCTATGATTAATCTCATCTTAACTTGCATATTAACTAGCCTGAAGGTGCTTTATTCCGCCACTGTTGATGGATATTTCATATATATTTTAATAAAATTAGTTTAAATTAATTTAAGCTATGTTTTGAAATTATAATATATATATATATATATATATATATAAGAGAGAGAGAGAGAGAGAGAGAGAGAAATAAATAGAGAATAATTACTTTTAATAAAATAATGTAACACTTTAAGAAATGAATTTGCGAAAAACTTAATATACCTCAAACCAAATATTACTGAATATAATTTTTTAATAAAAAAAGTATTTAAATGAAGGATTAACCCTCACTTGATTATTGGTTTTGCCTGAATAAGATATTGCCACGGAAATTACCAGCGAATTAGAAAAATTAGCTTTAATACCTTTAGTGAATTTCTTACAACATGCTTCCAGAAGAAAAAGTAGCTTTTGTGAAGTCTTCAATATTCTTGATGATATTATAGTTTAAATAAAAAGAAGAAAATGATAGAATTTGTTCTCTCAGTTTAACAAGAAAATTTTACTATTTTCGTACAAATCTCGTTTGATTTGATCATATTTAAAAATTATTTTCATTGGATATTAATTAACTTGTTATTTTTTGTTTCACGCAAACAATTTTATAACATAATATTTATTTTCTAAATAGAAATCGGTTTGATTTTGTTGAAGGAGTTATAGAATGAAGTATAGGAAAAACGTTAATATTGTTTAGGTATACCAAAACAGAAGTTAGCAGTACGGTAATTTTTATTGCGTTTATGTTTTGTAAATTTTGGTCACGTGTTGAATTGCCAAAGCAGAAAACAAAGTTTCGTGTTATGTTCCTGGAAGATACTAAGTAGCACAGTTCACATATATATGATGTCGCTGTCACCCTGTATATTATAGTGTCATCAGTGTGAAAGCGCAGAAGAAACACTTCTTTTGACTAGTTAGGACGGGGCATGATCACGTGAACGGTTAAGACAATTTGGAAGTCGCAGGTATCTTTTATTTATTGGATTTTGTATTATTGTTGAACATGAAACACGTTTTGAAATGTGAACGCGTGCAGAGTATAAATAAGTGACTGGTCAGACACGAACCATGCTTACACTTACACACATGCTCGCTTATCAACAGAACCCAAATATCCCCTTGCGTCCAAACGCAAACGCTAATTCACTCACTAACTCTCATTCACAAAGATGGTGAGAACCCCATCTTGTGACAAAAGTGGACTGAGGAAAGGTACTTGGACTCCGGAGGAAGATAGGAAATTATTTGCCTATGTCACTAGATATGGTTCCTGGAATTGGCGCCAACTTCCCAGATTTGCAGGTACATATATTTGAACACTTGTGAAAACCAAATAAGCCAATAAATTTTATAGTAAAAGAGTTATTAATTACCTTTTGCATTGGTTTTTAGGCCTGGCAAGGTGTGGGAAAAGTTGTAGATTGAGATGGATGAATTATCTGAGGCCTAACCTCAAAAGAGGGAACTTCACTCCGCAAGAAGAAGAATGCATAATCAGAATGCACCAAAAACTTGGTAACAGGTATCATCACTTCCTAATACTCTAATACAATGAACTATACCCTCTGCATCAAAATACCAACAATTCAAATATTTCTTATTTCAAATGGGGGAATGCTAATTGATGATTCCTTCACTTGCAGATGGTCTGCTATTGCGGCTGAGTTACCGGGAAGAACAGATAACGAAATAAAAAACCATTGGCACACCACCCTCAAGAAAAGGTCTGAACAAAACACACATACAAATGAAGAAGTTAGAGCCTCCAAATCAAAGAATAAAGAATCCAGGCAAGGGAGGGACTCGGTTCCCAACAAAAATGGTGTTACTGTTACTCTTCCATCCACCTCCCAGACTTCTGATAATTCATCAGCTTCAGTCTCACCAGTTTCATCCTCCTGCAGCGTGTTCTCCTCCACAACTTCAGATCATTGCAGTGCTGCCAGCATGGACAATTTGGTCTTTGAAGATGACTTTGGTTTTCTGGATTCAAACATAGAGCCTATGAATGAAAGTTTCTGGACAGAGCTAAATTTGGATGACATCTCCTACAGTGCAGCAAGTGAAATAGTGTCAGGTGACACCAGTGGCGCAATTCAAAGTACAGATGCTAGCGTCCATGAATCTTGTGCAATGTCTCCACACGGGTCAACCAGTGACAATGACTTTGGCGGCTTTCACGATGCATATGCAGAGGCAACACTTGATAACTTTTGGCCACAGGCATATGTGGCTGACATGTCCCATGTTCCAAGCGAACTTCTTGTCTCTACCGTGGTGGAATCTGAATATTTTACTCCAATCTACGATGATCTGTGGGGGCAAAGCCACTTCTATTAGGTTACTCTAATGAACAAAACTACTCCTTGTTCAGAGAACCATAGTTTTGAGAGTAACACTGTTATACTATTATACACAGTCATGAATAATTATGAGATTACTTATATTCAAGGTGTGTTTTAGTGAGGCTAAATGAGATTTTATATAAATAAAGTATTTTGAAGCTGTTTCAGGGAACGTTTCCCCTCCTTAATGTAAATATGATTGTAGTAAATTTCTTATTGTGATTTGTGTGATTTCTCCTAATAGATAGCATATTGAATCAGAAAATCAATGCTAAATATTATAATGTTTCGAGTTTTTTTAAATAAAAACTAAAATCAATCAATAAAAATAAATTTGAAAAATACCTTAACAAAATATTTTTCAAACACTTTTTTAATTTTTAAAAACTACTTTTAAAATAGTAAGAAATAATTTCTTAAATTTTTATAACACTTTAACTTTTGCATTATAGTAAGTCAATTGAGTTTTCTTTAAATGTGTGGAAAAACCATAAAGTGTAAAAACTATTTCTATTGTTCTAGATTAATATATTACAATAGAGAAGAAAATTACCTTGCAATTTAGAATGTTCTTGAAGAGAACGCGCTTTCAAAGAACTCAAAAGACATAGCATTTATTTTTCTCCCTTGAAGTTTATGCTAGAAGACAGCAATTTAGAATGTCTATCTTGCATTACATTATTATCTTACAAGTTTTAGAGGAAATTTCTCATCCCACTGAGAAAGCATGAAAATATATATAATAATGATTTAGAAAATTAACATATAAATTATAAATTTTGCTATCACTTTAACTATTAATTTTTTACTAAATTATTATGAGCAATATGAGTATTCAAAAAGCCTAGTTAATTAGGTTAATTCATATGTAATTGTAACAACCATAAGAAACTTTATTTGTAATCCAAGTTCAAATTTTAAAATTATCAGTTTTTTTTTAAATCATCATCTAAGTTAAAAAAATATAACAGGTTAATTATCTCTTAAAAAAATAATAAAACTATATAATGAATGAAAGATTTCATTGAACTAAACCTATAAACAAACAGCAAAATCATTCATAACTTGCATTATAACCGCACCCTAATTTTCTTCCTTTAGTTGCCGGTCAATGCTGGTTGCCCTGCCTGTGTTACTAAATACATCTATTTGAAACCCATGGAAAATGCTGAAAAAAATTCCTTAATATTAATCCTGAATTAAAAAAATAAGTTGATTTAATACTTAATAATCTATTGTCTTGTTGGTATAATTATTTTGTTTTGTCGTCTAGAATAAGAAACAAATAAAAAAAATGGCTCTTGGCTGATTCTTGTTAGTAGTACATGAATCTAAATTGAATATTAATGGACGACTTTTAATTAAGCTTTAGTTTATTTATTTTTTCACATGCTTCATTGAAACTAGAATGAAACAAGCATGATGATTATTTTGACGCAACATGCTTACGCGCGTTCCTAATCTTGTCCTACATGAATTAATAATTGATTATGTACTTACGTCTTCTAATTAAACTATTGAATCCAACACTGTTAAAATTCTGTCTCGTAGTAGTGTAATCTATCTACGGAATTAGCAAAACGCGTACACGAAATCACTGAAGTAGTATTCTATGAATTTTATTTTGTTCTCATATGTATGTCAGCCTCAAATTATATAAATAAAATATTCCCTCGTATAATATACACAATGATTTATTTAGTTTGATGAAACTATCTAACATCAAATAATATAAAATAAGTTAAATCATAAGGGTCCTTTCCAACAAGGAATAAATGTGTGAAAGGAAAATAATATATAAATAAAAATATAAAATAAGGTACACAATATATCTATTTTTCTAAAAAAAAGTGATGTGAATTTTTTTTTGAAAAACTTTATATAATTATTATTTAAATTTTATATAAATAAATAATTTTGTAAATTAACATTTCTAAATTAATATTTTTTTTTAATAATATGTACTATGTATAAAATACTTTTATCGTAAAAATATTTTTCTCAAATATTTAATTTAAATTAATAAAATAATATCATGTTATAAAATATATTAAATTATTTTATTTGATTTTTATAATATTTTTTACGCTTAAAATATTTTCCCTCAATAACATAATTAAAAGTTAATATATATATATATATATATATATACAAAAATTAAATTATAACAATTATCTTATATTTTCCAAAAAAATTTCTCTTGTATAAAAATAATTTTCTTTATTGTTTTAATATTGAATAAAAATAGTATCTTTCTCTTCTTCCTTCTTTGTTAATCCCTCACGCTTTCTAATTTGGTGAGTAATTAAAAGAAAAAGGTAATTAAAATGGTGGGAGATGCAGCCAGAAGCCACTGACTGCGACTTCGGAATTCCAAGTCTATTATCTTTGTCTTTCTCCTTCTTGGAAGGTGCAAGTCTTTCAAAACATTACTCAGTTGTCAGACCAGGGCAACAATTTAGTACTACAAATTAATAATGTTTGACACACATGCTTCCGAATATGAACACGAGTCTAACATGGAGCATGACACACGTTTTCCTCCAATTTAAGTTTTCAAGTCAGCTGGTCATAGTAAGGCTACTTTTTTGTTTTTTATTTTTATTTTTTATAATAATATGAAATATTTTAAAAAATAATACTATAAATATTAAATAATAATAATAAATTCTTCTACTTCTTCTTGTCTTTTTTTTCTTATTCCTTGTTCATTTGGACATTCTTTTAATTTTATCTAGTGTTATAAAGTGTCTTGATTTAATTATATTTATTATGTAAATATTTTTTCATACTGTAAGTACAATTCTGTGTGATATATAAAGTGCTAACTGTAGAAAAAAAAATAGATTAAATAAAAAAACAGTAATCATACAACAACATATTGCCATAAGTTATTTTTATAAATTTTCAAAATGTTTACTTATGTTATGTATTATATGTCTAAATAATATAATTTTTTAAATTTATAAATGTTTATAAAAAAAAGTTCAATTTTAACAAAAACAATACTCTACGTAATTCGTTAATTCTTCTATTATCGTAAAATCCTTCTATAATGAGACAGTTTTTAAAAAAAAAAAGCATTGAAATTCATAAATTTACATTGATTTATGCAAAGAAATTTACATTATCTATGGGTGAAGAAAAGTAGTGGGATTAATTATTTATATGTTTAGGATATAAATCATGTTATTAACTTGTAGAAAATAAGTTGGGCCAAACAAGGGTCCAGCAAGCGAGCTGCAAGCCCAATTCATTCAAGCACAAAGCTATTTATCACGTACATATGTTAAGTTCCCCCTTCTACATACATACTTCTATTCAACGAAAAATAGAAAATATTTGGTAAATACCTATTTCGATTTCTATATAATTTCTATTCTACATTTTAGTACTTTCATATATTTTAACACATTCTTTGGTGTGAGCCACCAACACCTTAAAAAAAAAAACAATACTCATGTACATAAATAAGTATTGATACTACAAATACATAAAATATAAGGAATACAAAATCTAACAAGTAAAATTATGAACGTAATAAATGTTAAACCTCGTTCTTTTAATTAATATAATTTGTCTTGCTCTGTTTAATAAGTATTGCACCATACAAAATATTTACAAACATTAGGTGCTTGGAAATTTAATTTCAAAACAATGTTAAAACCAGTATAACTGGTGAAATTTTATATAATGGTAGTTTTTTTTTACTATTTGATATTGTTTTAGATTGATTAACAAGATTATGAATGTTTTGTTCATTAATTACTAACTAAAAATATTAATTTAATTTTAAATAGAAACTCACATGACATATGTCATCAAATGAAGGAAAAAAAACGTACAAATTTACAACTGAAATTATTTACTTTATCTTCTAATTAAACTGAGGATTTTATAATATTCATAGGCAACTTGTGTTTATTTCCAAAGAATATAATGGTTGATATTTATTTCAAAGAATATGGTAGTTCATATTCCTCTAATATGAAGGGGGAAAGAAAGAGTAAATTCGCATAATACAATAAAAAAAGAATTATACTAGAAAAACAAAACTTAATTATTCTAACATAAATTGTGAAAAAATGAAAATAATTTAATTTTAGTTATCACAATTTAATTTGAATATCATTTAGTTTTAAGGAAACAAATTTAAATAACGAAAGGAGTAAGAAAAGTGTTCTCTTATATAAATGTGTGAAATTAGAACTTTATTGTCATAAGCTGCTGCTAATCTTGTTTTCATCGAATTCCTACACTTGGATACATTTAATGCAGATGTTCCAAGAAACCAAATTTTTAGTCCAAATCCTCCATTTAGATACATCCAATGCAAATATTTTCAAACATGCCGAATGTTTAGTCAAAAACTAAGTCTTCGAACCCAGTAAAATATTTATGCATTCCCTTTTCTGTGGTTAATTTCATCCACTTTTGACTTTTCTTTCAGTGCTTTTGATTACTTCACTGCTTCTCAGTTTTTATTTATGAACTTGGATCTAAGTTTCATTATTGTAAAACTCAAACGCTTTATTCATAATTAACCTACTATTTCTTCTAAAACGCAGTTATTCTGGCTGATCGAATCATTTCGATAAGCATCATTATTGTATGTGATTAATTTCTAGAACAAGGGAGATTATGATTGTGTGAAAGCTTGACATTTAATTATCCAGCACAGGTTTAAACCAGGCTCAGGTTATAATCAACTCTGCATAAAAAATACATTAATAAAATCTACATAATCAACCCTCTCTTTCTCTCGGTCAATTTTTTATTTTATTTTAATTACAGTCAAGTGATACTTGAACAAGTTTATGATCCATTCAGTCTAATCAACATTAATTATAATTATTCATTCAAAGACTCAGAAATTAAAAAAAAAAAAAATCATCGTCTGCATTCTGACATGAAGTGACGTTACATACACAACACATAGAACAACAAAATCAATCCCTTGGCTGCATTCACATCTATTTTAACATTATAATCTTTCAATGACAACAGAAACAGGCCAGCAAGCTCCGTTTGGAGAAAAAAAAAAATTATGTAAACAACTAGTACATTATGCGTAGACTTAGATTGGTTTTGGTCCATTTTTTTTATTTATTTTAGGGTTGTCTAATGAAAGGAACTATTATCAGTAGATCATACGCGTTTTAGTTTATATATAATTTCGCAAAGGAGATATTCTAAAGACAGTGCTTTGAGTCGTGTGTGCTAAATTAGTTTTCTGGGATTTGGATAAACCAAAAGCCTAATCTTTAATTAAGAGATGGTGAGAGCTCCTTTCTATGATAAAAATGGAGTGAAGAAAGGTGCATGGAGTAGAGAAGAAGATGATAAGTTAAAAACTTATGTTCAGATATATGGTCACTCTAACTGGCGTCAACTTCCCAAGTTTGCAGGTATTATTTTGTAAGATAATGATCGATTCTTATACTAGTTATGTTAAGTTTCGTTTTGATTTATGATATTTGAATAAATTATATGGGATTAATTAATAAATAAAATATTTAGGATTGATTACTCTTGAACTGTGTATTTAATGATGATTTATGCTGCTATAACATTCTGATGAGTTTTCTACGTTGTTCTGTGTATAATTTTGTTGCAGGTTTAGCAAGGTGTGGGAAAAGTTGCAGACTTCGTTGGTTGAATTACTTGAGACCAAATCTAAAACACGGGAACTACACCCCAGAGGAAGAGGAAATAATCATCAAATTCCACCAACAATTTGGAAATAAGTATGTATATTTGCAATTTTGAGAATTTATTCATACTGCTATAACGTTTTTCAACACTTGATTAAACTTGCTATGTTTGATTTATCTTTCGTACTTCTTTCTTGTTGTACCCTTTTTGTTAGTAATGCGTGATTGAACTTGAAGAATGAATTTTAATCATTTGGAAGCTAAGACAGAACTCAACTTGAGCTTGATCTAAACCTTGGATGATATATATATATATATATATATATATATGCCATCTTTGATCATTAAAGTAGACTTACATAAATAATTTTATTTGTCAATTAATATCTGTATCTGAATTTTAATATATTGTTGACTTTAGATGGTCCATGATTGCTGAAAAACTCCCTGGAAGAACCGACAATGAGGTAAAGAACTATTGGCATAGTCACCTGAAAAAGAGGTTAAAGAGCAAAGAAATCACAACGTCTAAGTTGAAGACCAAGCCAGGTGATAGTTTGGAAGAAAATTTAAATGAGACTAATGAATTTGAAAATTGTGAAAACCTAGGTGCCAATAGTGGTGAAAACTTCCTTCATATTTTAGAAAGTTCGTCGGCCATGTCCTCGGAAACATCAGAAGGAGGCAACTATTCCTTTACCACTAATGCTGAACATGGTGTTCTTCCATTTTCATACAAAGAATTCAGCGGCGATTTTTGGTCTGAGCCATTCCTTGTAGAAGATATAGATACGCATCAAGATGAGATTTGCAGTGATGAAGGCATGATATTGTTAATTTCAAACTTCGATGGTGCATATTTGCTGTAGAAAATTGTCAGAGACTGCGTCCCATTTTCAAATTGTTATACATGAGAAAGAATAGATGGATTAATTTTGGTTTAATTTGAAAATAAGGGTTTAATAATTCTCAAATTTAAATTTCCAAATGTTGATCTAATCTAATACCAATTCGTGTGAATGGATATTTGTGACATAAGCATGACAAGTGTCTCACGTCATTGTAATTGATTAATTTATATTAAAAAATTATATTTATTTTAAAAATACAGGAAAATGTTTATTTTTTATATTATTTAATTATAATAAAATAAATAATAAAAATAAAAAATAATTTTTACTCTTAAAATAAATATGTGTCATACTATCAATTTTTGTAAATTGTTTTTATTTGTCATAGAAAGTGTTGAGTGGTAAAATTATAATAAAAATTGATTTTTTTAAATGGTAAAAATTAATAGTAAATATCAATGCAAAAGTTAAATTCCAGTTTATAAATAATATCTTGAATTTTAAATTATATAATGAGTAAAGTTAAAATATGATAATATCTAACTAGCTACTCTAATGTCTATCTCTCTGTATATATTGAATATCTAATGTATAAAATTATTTTATTTTATTTTAAATAAAAGAATGGTTATGTTTACAATATTATTTAATTATAAAGTATGTTTGAATGCCTTATTGATACGATTTCTATATTTTAATTTTAGGTTTGAATAGTTTTTACTACAAAAAAATTACGTATTACCGACGGATTTATAGCTGTATTAAAAAATAATCATTATCGACAGAAATTATCGATGGATATAAAATATTTTGTGGAATTTGATATTACGACGGATATATCCGTCGGTAAAATAATAATTAGTTACAGACGGATATATCCGTTGATAAATTCGTAGGTAATTTATAGATGAATTTTACCAACAGATATATCCAGTCGATAAATTAACAATTAATTACCGACGGATATATCCGTCGGTAAATTCATCTGTAAATTAACAATTATTTATCGAAGGATATTTCCATCGGTAAATTAACAATTATTTACAGACGGATATCTGTCGGTAAAATTATATAATATAATTTAATTATTCACCTAATTAAAAAATAAAATATTTTTATTTAATAATTTAATTTAATCATAATTAGATTAATTTATAATAATTTATTAAATTAAATAATTTTAAAAAATAAATATTTAATTATATATAAATATATAAATATATTTGTAAATTGTTATCAAAAAATTCTAGTAGCTTAGTGGTTGGAGTATCAACTTCTAACTCTAAGGTACTTGGATTTGAATCTTGTCAATAACATTTGTCAATAACATTTACCTTAATCCGATAATAATTCTAAGGTGCTGGGTTCGAGACTTGATTCATATTAAGAGTAGTGTAAAGTTTTAATTAAACTTAGTGGCCGAATCAAGTGGGCCAACAGGGCCACGCCCCCAACAACCAAAATTAATTTTTTTATATATAATAATTATTTTTAAAATTAAATAAAAATTATTTTATAAATATAGTTATAATAATTTTTATTTATTTATTTATTATAAATATTATATTTATTCTTTTTTTATTTACATCTTTTATTATTTTTTTATTTTTGGATTTATATTTCTTTTTCTCTCACATTTTCACTTTCTCATTTTAACTTTATTTATTAGAGATTTATTTTGTATTTTCAAATTTTTATCTCTCATTCTCTTTCATATATTTCTCTTTTACATCACAAAATTTGCAAGTTTTTCTTCTTAATTTCAATTTTTTCCTTTTTACACTTTCATCTTTATAACATAAAAATTATAATTTTTTTTATTTTTTATTCACATTATAAACATAAGAAAAGAAATAAAAAAAATACCTCATAATAATTTCTTAAAATAATAAAAATAGTAAACAAATTTATTGTTTTATTGATTTTGTTTATTTTTATATCAAATTAACATAATATAGTATAAAATATCGATATAATTTATTATTTATTATTAATTAATTAGTTATTTTAATATTTTAGGGTACTTTATTTTAGTATAAAAATGTAAAAAAATAAAAATATGTTAAATTTTAAAAATATCTAAAAAAATTATAAAATATTTTTAAGAGAAAAGAAAAAATAGAATAAAAAATAAACATATTTTTTAAAATTTAAATTCAATTATGAATATTTAATATGTTTCTACTCATTTTATATAATATCTTATATTTTTTTATATGATAATTTATTTTTATATTTTGATCCATTTTAACAAATTTATTTCACTCATGCTAACAAATAGATATGAATTAAATGTATGTATGGTCAAATATATAAATAAAATAAGTATATTAAATAATATATATTTATTTATATATGTTACTTTTCTAGATTTGAAAAAATTAATATATAAGAGTGGAATTCTATAATATTTCTTATTTTTATTTATTAATTATTAATTTCATCCGTAAGAATAGTGGGTACGTGTAAGAAAATTATTATTTGGTAGATGCTAGTTTATTTTGTAATTTGTATGTCGTTTTTATTGTTATATTTTAAAATATGATTATTTTTTATTAAAATTTTAATAAAAAATAAATATTTATATTTTTATAAATATAAATATATAGATTTTACAACTTTATTTGATTTCTATATTATAAATAATTATTAAAATTAATAAATAATTTTATTTTAAAATGGTTGATTTATCAATTATACTTATCATCTAATTTGATGTTTCAATCTGTTTAAGTTGATATTTTAGTTATCACGTATATAAGAGATAACAACAAAGAAGTGAAAATAATTATTATATAAAATAATATAATTTTAAAATGATATATAAAATCAACTTTTCAATTTTATTTCATATTTCTTTATTTATATTATGAAAATTTTAATTAAATTTTAATTAGGATAAATAAACTCAACTTTAATAATTTTTTAAGTGATATTTATTTATTTTAATTCTCAAGTTCAACCTTTATCTATAATATCATCAGCATAAATATATTATTATTTATAAATAATTAAATAATAAAAATATAAATTAATAAATAAAGATCAGCACATAATTAAAGATAAAAGAAATATAATTAATATATGATTGGATGAATAAAATAAGACCTATATAACTAAAAATAAAATAAATAAACATAAGATAAAATTAATAGAGATAAAATAAATAAATATAAAATAAAATTAATGTATAACTTAACATAAAATAAATAAATATTAAATAAGATTAGTATATAATTAGAAATAATTAAATACAACAAAATAAATAAGACGAGTAGCATATCAGAAACACTTCATTCTATAATTATAAATAAAAATAGATAAACATAATAATAAATTTATCATTTTGTTTTCTTCACATGAACAAATTATATACAAATTTTTTTCTTTTTTACACAACCTTTCTTAATCTCTCCTCTTTCAATTTTTTCTCTCACCTTTCTTTCTTTTCCCTCGGAAATCTCCTTCCCTCTCCAACGTTACAATTTTTATTTTATTTTTTATTTATTTTTCTTTTCATTAAATTTATGTTTATCTCTTAAAAGAGACAAGATTGCTATCTTTTATTTAATTAATTTTTAATTATTTTTATTAATTAATTAATAACTTATTATTTTTATTATTATATATTTATTAATAATAATTTTGTCATTTATTTTTAATAATATTTTTTCTTTTATTATAAAAATGTTATAATTTAATATATTATATTTAAAATTTTTATATGATAACTTTTGAGGTGTGAAAAGTATTTTGAAAATTATTAATAAATAACATAACTTTAATTGTACTTTATCATATAAAGGAATGATTATTATCATGTGATAATATTAAAACAGTTGTGTGGTTTGAGAAGGAAAGAGACCGTAATTATCTTATATTTTATAATTTTAATATAATTTATAATTTTAATTTTTAATTTAATTATTATTTAATATATTTATTTGTATATTTATAATTTTATTTTTTTATTTTTTTATTAATTTTATAACTTTTATATAATTTAATCTTAAAATTAATAATTATTTTTTATATTTATTTATATATTTATAAATTTATTTATTATATTTATTTATTATTTATTAATAATTTATTTATTATATTTATTTATTATTTATTAATAATATATTATTAAATTAAAAAATTGAAAGAAAACTCCGTTACTGGAAAGAGCCTAAGGGATTTAAAATCAAAATACAATAATAAGTTACAAGTGTATATATTTTATGAGTAGTGATATTTTGACAACTAGAAATCATACAACTCTTCAAACAACTCATTTTTATTAATATAATAATCTATAGACTGATTTAAAAAAAATAAAAATAATATAAAACTATTATTATAATATTAAATCAGAGTTGTTTACAGAAGTGCATGGATTTGGGTTGTCAAATATCATTTTCCATATTTTATATCATGAGACATGCTTCGAGATATTCAATACCTTTCACAGAAAAATCACTCCTTCAACATGTGCATGACCACTTTTATTCAGCCTTTTTTTCTTTACTTTACAATACAATTATTTTTTTTAGTTCAAATGCTGAAATTTTATCGTAAACTGCGGAAAAATGTTCAGTACGTCAGCAACAAGTATTAGGTCCAATCCAATTAATGAGGAACCCTCGCTCTAGTACATTTCAAGCATCGAAAAAGCCATATGCTAGGGCAAAAACTTCTTCATTACCAACTCTTGTGGTGAACACCAAAGTGTTGTTCCACACAGATGAAAGCAAGTTTGATTCTCATCTATAATTCCTTCACCATAACTCCTTCAACTTTCTCCACAAGCAACGCATGCAATCTATCTATAAAATAAAATTAATTTTGATTTTTTTTTACTTAACAACTATTATTTTAAAATACATTTTTAAGATAAAAAGTAAAAAGAAAAAATAATTTTTATTTGTTGAGCATTTATTTTTCGTTTTAATTTAAAAGTCTTAAAGATAAATAAATAGTTAAAACTTCTTATTATCATCACCATAACCATCATTTGTTTGTTTCGAAAGATA